AACTTTAAATAAAACTAAAGAACATATAATATATTGTGGAACTTGTCAGTGATGTTGTGCAGGGTCCAAAGTATTAAGCTATAAACTAATGGAAGGTAGCCCATTGGCAGCTAGTATCTCTCTCCAGTATCTTTGCTCTGATCCTGAATGGCAATCATTATACCCCAAGGAAAACCAGGAATGCAATTTGGGAGAGAGTATCAAGAACACTTGTCCAAAAGCTCAAAATCTGGACAGTAATTGAACCATTTGGGAAAGATTAATTTTACAGGAGACAAAGCCCAAATCATACATATGTAAGAAGTATTCATGACAAAAGAAGCTCACAGTGCAGGATGAACTAATTGAGAAGAAATGTAAACCAGGCCACTTCCATGTAACCCTCCTCCCAGGAGTTCAGCTATCTGTGATTCCAGACCCACTTTCAGTACAGTGCAGCTGTGCAACTGTTCTCAGTTTCCTTCTGAGAAAATTGCTAGGGCGTGAGAGGGAGCTGTGAGAGAGCACACAGGCTGGAAGCATTCGAGATAAGAAAGGTAAAGTTGCAGACATAAGTAAGATTGTTGAGACAGGGAAAACTGGCACCTCAAGGATTTAAGGATAAAAACACTTACATGAAAGGTATAAAATCCTAACAAAAAAAGAAAGAGGAAATCAGAATACAGCAATTCAGCAACATCATAGATCAGCCTGCTCCAGTCAGCCCTAGAGGCCAGCCCTCCCCTACCTGAGTGATGACTACTTGCCCATTAGATTGAGTGACTCATTTGGTGGGGGTTGATTTAATGCCTAGCTCATTAGTCCCACAATGTATCGTGTGTTAGAGGATAAATAACTTGCTCTGTGCTTTTAAGCTGTTTATATCTTGCCTGAAGATATGGTAAAAGTTCCCTGAAGAGAGGGAGTCCCCAAGGGGGAAGGTTATGTAAGTAATCCAGAATAACAGACAAGAATAATATGATTAGTCATGTAGAAGAGCGTTTAAAGCATGGGGGCACACTTTAGATGGGTTAGGGGATTACAGAACATACATGACTTTTTTTCAGCAGATGGTATGTATTTCAGAAAAGTTCCTCATAGCTACAGCACTGAATAAATGATATCTGAATCAGGATACAGAATTTGATCTCTCTAATGAGTCCAGAAATCTGGAAGACAAAAGTAGAAGTGCTGGGAAAGCTGATGCTGGGAGAAGGCATTCTGAATACTTGCAATCCCAGAATAAGAAAACTAGAACAATGCTTTCCACAAAGCACATCCCAGAAGGAAATGGATCTGGAAAAATTCTAAATTATCTACAGGAAAAAATAATTAGTGAAAAAACCCCTAAACTTAGAAGTATGAAAGTCTGACTTGTAGAAAAAGGGCTGAGAATACTGGTGGGAGCTCACAAGGAACAAAAATAAATAACTTTTAAAATTACTTTTCTGATTCAAATGCTTTTGAATTGCTTTTGAAATTGCTGCTTGATTGCATTTGAAGAAACATACACTATATATATATATATATATACATACACACACACATACATACATAGAAGTCTGAAAGAAACTAGTATGTAAGTCAGACCAGACATTACCTTGCTCAAATAACTTGTAATAAATTTCAGGAAGGTGCAGAATAAATTTGTTTCTTAATGCCAATGAGCCAGCTAGAGGACCAGAAAAGCTGAGGGAAGATGGCCATTACCACCAATGTCTTAGACCTTCATTCTCTCTCATATGTTTGGTGTTCTCTTTGCAGTGTTTGTAAATGTGCTTGCCTAGATGTAACTTAGAAGAATGATACAATTGTGTTGGAAATAGAGTAAGAACCGTTCTTCAGAAGACAAGAAAGTTCAAAGTTCTGATCATTCCAATGTCCCATGGGAGCAAGGGGTAACTCACAAAGATAACTTTAATCATACAATCATCTAAGTTGGAAAAGACCTTTAAGTTCATTGAGTTCAACCATAAACCGAACCCTGTCAAGTCCCACTAAACCATATCCCTAAGTGCCACACCTACATGTCTTTGAAACAGCTCCAGAGATGGTGACTCAACCACTTCTCTGGGCAACAACCTGTTCCAATGCTTGACAACCCTTTTGGTGAAGAAATTTTTCCTAATATCCAATCTGAACCTTGAGGTCATTCTTTTCATCCTATTGTTTGTTACTTGGGAGAAGAGACTGACCCCCATTTGGTTGAAACCTCCTTTAAGGTAAATGTACAGAGTGATAAACCTCCTTTTTTCCAGGCTAAACAACCCCAGCTCCCTCAGCTGCTCTTCGTGGGACTTGTGCTTCAGACTCTTTACCAGCTTTGTTACCCTTCTCTGGATATGCTCCAGTGCCTCACTGTTTTTCTTGTAGTGAGGGGTAGAAATAGATTTGAGGGTAGAGATAACTACACTTATATAATCCACTATAAGGATTAATTTATAATTTATAACTATACTTAAATAATCCACTACAGGGACCCATGGATTATTTTTCAGTGGCTAAATGCAAAGAAGTACCAAATACGAACAAAGGGATTCCTTGCATCAAATCAGGTACAGTTTTTATGTCAAGTTCAGTGGCTGAAACTGTTTAAAATTATGGCTAAAATGAAGAAGTTATTATTTCTGAAGCCCTTAATACATTTTTTATTGCATATTTGACATAAGTTTAAATTAAACTTCTTGTTCCATCTACAAATTAAGCACCAAGAGCCACCAAACCAAGGGTACTTTGAATTCTTTTCAGGATGCTGAGTCTGGTTTTTCTCTTATTTTTCAAATGCCTGGATTTTGACCTACTCAAGCCTGTTCCAGACTTAGTGGCTTTGACCTTTATGCATTCTTTTATGAAAAACTTTCTGAAATAAGCTTTTCTTTGCCATTACCTGAATGGGAAGTGAGACTTTTGAAATCAATTTCAGACAGCAGACCTGCTGGTCAGAGCTAAGTATCTCGTTCTGTCAGACTGCACAATGCTTCAAAACAATTTCCATTTCTGAAAGATTCCCCTCAATTGAAAAAGTAACAGTAAATAATTTTCTAAGCTACAGATTTTCTCAGTGAACATAATGTTACTGTTAGCTTAGTTCCTACTGATTGGAGGGAATCAAATATATACTGGTTTGACTAAATATAAATGCATAGAATGTAGAACTGGTAGGAGTGACTTTTGGGAATGGTCCTGTGCAGGGCTAAGAGTTAGACTTGATGATCCTTGTGAGTATCTTCCAACTCAGCATATTCTGTGGATTACTATGCTCTTGACCAACATAATCCAAACATATCAGGTTGGAAAAACACTGATCTCTATAGATTTCTATATCTATACAAGTACTTATACAACTTATACAAAGGGGGTGTTTTTCTAAGAAGTACAGACCTACAATCAGAACATAATGTTAAGCTTTAAAATTAGAGGGATATATAGAGGTCTGGTTTATAATAGTTTTATGAAGTGTATTCCTGTTAGCTTCAGAGCAGGTACTCCCCTTTTCATAAGCTTAGGTAAGTTTGGAATCAAACCAAAAGCCTTTAATGAAGTTTTAATGATCCACTTGGGGGAGCTAAAGGGTAATTTGTTTCCAAATTTATTATGACAAAATGTTTGGGATGCAAAGTTAAGTTACAGAATACAAGTAGTCTTCTACTTTTTTTCAACTAAGTGCTGGTTGTTAATCTGCATTAGCTTCTCAGGCAAAGGGTCCTCAGTTCTTATTAAAATTCCAGCCACTTACAGAAAAAAGAGTCACTGTTATAAATAGCTTAGCAGTAGACACTCATAATAGCATCAATCATATCCTGACTTCAATTATACAACTACAACATACACTGAACGCCACAGACATAACACATAAGACAGAGTTTTGTCCTAATTCTACATTTTTTGCTAGTTAACACTGACTGTTGCATAACAAGAAAAGAAATTCTAACACACAATGGTTTTGTCTTTCAAGTAATATAAAATAACTCCATTTATATTTTTCTTTGTTTTCTTTTCTTTAGATGCTGGTTTCAGGCTATACCTACTTGTGCCTCATGCACCAGTTACTGTGTTGAAACCTGGTTTTGCACCATAGTTACGATCTTCATTTGTCCAGCCTGGGACACAGTGGAAACTGTTCCATAGTATAAAACTATACCAGCTGCTTTATCTTGTGTTTGATTGCCTATGATTACTGGTTGCCCTTTGACTGTCTGGGACTTGGGCACTAATCAAGAGGCAGAGATGTAGTATCTCCTACATTGGAAGGAAGAGCAGAGCTTTTTGTCTGTGAAGAGTCAATAGAAATAGGATACTGAGCTTTTCTTCATGTAGAAGTTGAGCTGAAGTTCAGAAAAACTGACAATATAGCTGATTTCAAAAGTCACAGCAGATCCAAAGCTACAATCATCTATCTTTTATAAGAGAAAACAACTCAGTTTCAGACACATAACTTACATGAAAATTCCACTGGCAAAGCTGTACAGTCAATGTCTTCACTGTAACAGTACAATCTCATTCCAAATTACCCTGTAGTACTGTCCACATTAAAGTTTATGGTGGTCTCAATATTTGGGTGTTGAATTTAACTGACTCATGTAAATAAAGTTTCAAGCAAAAGTGATGATTAAATATTGTTCTTTTAGTATTACCTAATAACTATACTTAAGGTTTCCTTGTTTTATGTTTACTTTAGCCAGAGCATGTATAAAAAGTAAACTGTAAGTGTCTTTACAAGAAGTACTTCAAAACTTATGCTTTGTAGCTATAAACTCCCAAAACATATTTTTAAATGTCGTTCAGCATCCTGAAGGCAAACACAATCATGCTGATTGAATACCATGCTAAAGACAATGGCAAAGTAAATGGAAGCAAAGGTACAGTCAACCTAGATACGGGCATTAAAGTTGTAGTCATTAGCAGTACTTGATGATAGTATTTGTAGTGTAAATTGCTTTCCTACTTTCTCCTTGATATATAAGGACAAGTACTATGTAATGTATTTAGGAGGAATTACTGCTTTAAATTGATCAACTTACATTAATTAATTCAATCTCCCAGATTTTTTTCACAAGGTCCATCGATGTATAGCCATTAATTAGAAAGGATTTGGTATAGTCACCCAGTTCAATGGAATCCAGCCATTCAGCTACAGAGGTGGGGTTGTAGCCATCATGACCGATCTGCTTCATCTGAAAAACAAGAATGAGCAAAAGTTACTGATTATATTCATTAAACATCTTTTAGAAAAGGAGTTATGGGTATTATTTTCTTTGGGTCAGTTATTTTCTTCTTTTAGTGATTAGTACAACATGAAACAATTTTGTGTGCAAAAGCAGTACTAAAACTTAGTTTTCAATGGATATTTTTCTTATGGCTGCTTGCCTTTTACACCAGACTGTACTAAGACTGTAGCTGGAGTTCAATTCTTACTAGACAGAGAATCCACAAGTAGGGGAAGGCAAAAGGATGGAAGACACATTATTAATATCCTGACTGCACAAAAATGCCAGATTTGCACCTAAAATTTCATAGAAGGGGAAGAAATTAGACTGAGAAATGGTTCTTTGGTATCACTGCAAATGAAACACATTGCCTTGGTTATATTATTCCTAATTTATCTTTTCTACCAGGCTATCTGTTATTTTATAATGGTTGAAGCCACACTGTATTTTTTTCTGCCCTCAGGGAAGGTTTAAAAAAAGTCTCTTTCCTCTACCTGCTCACATTTTTCATGGAACTCCTGGGAATTTATCATATTTCAGATTGCTCACTGTCTGTAAAGTTGTTTGAGATTGGACAATCGAATCAGATATTATTGGAATGGAACTGACAGAATGATGTGCACAGAAGTGCACCACTTGCATTTATATAGCAATACAATCATCTAATCTCATAAATCTTGTTTTCATTAAAAACAAAGAAATACCACTGGCATCTTATTTTTCTGATTTTTTTTAAGCTACTAAGAAATAAAAAGCTGCAATTTCTCTTTCACAATTGCCTCTCAGTGACAAAAGTGAAGACTTTCAAGCTAGCCATTAAAGATAAAAATGTATAAAGCCTCTACCCTTGCAGTTTGTTATGCCATATTGTTTTTATGAATTTTAAAGCAATCTACAATAGTGGCAGAAAAAGAAGTGGAATGAAGTAGAAAAAAATCATGCAATAGCCTCAATTTTCAACAGTATTATAAGCATATCATCTTTCTACAGAAATGTAACTATTGCTAACTTGATAATACACTGAACTGGTAAAATGTTAAGAAGCTTTAGAGGTTTAGAAACCTTGTGTTTTGCATAGGATCTCCTGACTGTGCAAGGGTGACATGGTGAATAGTGAAAGCCAGTCTCCCATTTCTGCCTGCTTATATACATTTCTACTTCAGGAGAAACAGGGGAAGTCTGACAGAAACCTAATGCTTTGAGTTTAAGTTTGAAGTGAGTGACAAAGTAATTTAAAAAGGAGAGAATTCTGATCTTAATATCTTGCCTGAGCCAATTTATTTCTCAGTTTATCTGAAATACAATTTGAATTCAAAGCAGAGAAAAGAAAATTAAAGTCTGCATTTGAAAGCCACAGTAGTGCTCATTGATCTGTCCATTCAAATACAGAAAGCCGGCATGTCATGATCTTGATCTTGGTTTCCTGCAGTATCAGAGAGCAGTGATGCAGGCACACTGCATCACGAATATGACAATTTACTCTTTTGCTGCAGATGTTGGGTGTAAAATATTAACAGCAATATTTAAATGATGTAGTGAAACCATTATCTTAAATCATAAAAGAAAGACAAGAGAAATCATATAATTAACAAAAGGAATTACAGCCTTTCAGGTCACTCCTGTAACAAAGGAGTCATACTGGAAAGTAAGCGCTCAGTTTTGTTATTGAACCTGACATTTTGGAATTTATTTTCATCCTAATTTAAAATGAAATTATTCTATGTCAAAAGCATGGCAAATTCTTCTTTCATTGCCATTCAGACTTACTTGAAATATTAGACTGATAGTAGTCTGTCCAGCAGACTGCTAAAACATTGAGGATCCTGGGAGGATCCTGAGGATCTCTGACTCCTAGGAAGCTTATTTCAAGAGCTGATTTTAAACAAGGTATGCTTAAACAGATGACACTTGAAAAGTAAGAACCTGATAAAAGGAAGAAGAAAAATCTTATATAGACAAGACATGAAGACATACAGGGTCAAAAGGGAACAAATGAGTTTAGAAAATATGAGGTATTTTTGTTTCCTTTGTCTAACAAAGCAAAGCAAAGCACTATCAAAACAATTTTCAATGTATCCAGATGGGGTACGTTATGTAAATGATTTCTTTTGTTTATTACTATTTGGTCTTTACCTTTAATAAATTCTGATTTTAATATGATTTTTTTTTTTTACCTGCTGATTGAGAAAACCAATTCAGTCTGGTCTGTAATTTTGGTAACCCAACAGCCTCTGAGAAGTAAATATAGCATGCCAAGTTTCCTAAAGTCTCAACTCCCACTGGAGATCTCCACCAAAAGGGCTGTTAAAATAGATATTTCTCTACTATGGCTGCAGGCAAGTAAACACAGGTGAACAATCCAATAAGCAAGAGGCTGAGAACAACTGAAATGGATTTGACAATTGCACTGTTTGGATTTGGTCACTCAATAGCCTACATGAAATGCTGGCCTGTTGTTGGGCAGCAGAAGGCTCTGCAAGTATTTTCACTCTTCCTATCCCAGAGATTTGGTTGCCTTTGTTCAAGGCCATGCCACAGGTACTTCAGCTGCATAGCCTTGGGTCAGCGTGAGGAAGAGTGGTGAGAAGTCTGGTCAGGGCCACCCCACCTTCTGCAGGAGCTGCCTGTGATCTCAGGTCCATGTCCTGACACTTGCCTGAGCTATGCTGTAGGTATGTCTGTGCCTGGCCATGCACCTTGCTGATCCTCAACCACTGAGTCACCCTCTTGAGTGACCTTGTCCCATTCTCATCCCTGTGGATGGCCTATGGATTTGCTCTGGGATGTAGCTGCTCAGAGTCATTGCCACTGTCCCTGCCCTACTTGCCTTGTCCCAGTGCTCCCTGCCTACCGACCCCCTGAGCTCCCTCCCATTCCTCTCCCTGAGCCTACCTACCATGGCAGGACAGTTGTTCCTATCACAGAAAATTAATCTCAGAACTAGAATACATGCTATTAGTTTCATCACAAAAGCAGTATTAGGTTTTGTCATGAACTAAGAACACTCTCCTATCTAAAAGAGATTTTCTGAAATGTGTCTAGTATATGAAAATTAATAAACTTCCAGTATCTGTCCTCTTCTATGGGAAGTTTTTTTGCTGTCTGTTAATAATATCAACTAGCTTATTAACTGTCATTCATAGCTGGCTGAATGTTTTCCTTTTAAATACTTATTGACAGATATCATTATTACTGACAGTATCATTAATAGTATCTGCTTTTCATATAAAATGTAGCTGAGTTTTGAAATAAAAATCCTTTGAAATATCTTTCCGGAAGTGCTGCCCCTTTACTTTATGAGAGTTCCAGTTTAGTTGCACCTTATTCCAGTCCTCATGGCTCTTAGACTATTTTTTCTTCTATACTGCACTTTATTCTCTGACTCTGAGATTATCCTAGACTCCTCTCAGATCATTTAGACCCTGTAGGTTTCCTTCCTGATGTTATTTCCTGTGATTTTTTTCTGAGAGAAAAACTCCCTCCTATCTACTGAGTGTATTTCCATGTATAATATTTCAATCATTTTGCATCAGCTACAACACATGCACCAGTGGTGTCAAACATCTGAGCAATGTGCATACTGTTTGACTCAGATCAGTGTAAAATCTCTGAGCTTCAAGTCATGACAGTATTTCAAATATAAATATCTGCTCATAAATAGGGGCAGTATTGTTCTTCCACAGACACTACTACTAATTAATTTGGTTCTTTAGCTCTTTCAGTGCAGAAGATTTTTGCATGCTGACTGTAGAAAAGGCTAGGAATTAAAGTCCATAGGATTTAGAGAAAAATAAATGTTTATGAAAATATCATAAAAAGGAGCACGGAAGAAGACACAAACCATATGAGATTTCTTTCCTAGGTCCTACTGATCTTTACTAGTATCACTTCCTTTGAAATGAATACAAAGCAGAAGCCAGAAAGAGTTGTTTCTCATAATAAAATAGTAGTGTCAAGTAGTTTTTAATGGGTCGAGAAATCCTTCCAAGAGATCCTCTGTACAACAGACTTTTTAAAGGTGCATCACTGCTGTATCTATACTGTATTTACATTAGGACGAAAGGTACTTAAGTTTTTTTCTCTAAAAGGTAGACAAATAAACACAAATAGAGCTTCAAAGTAACCACATATGTACCAGAAGCATCAAGGTGAATTCAGTAACAAGGACTATTGCCAGTTCTCCCTGATCTTCTCAGACATATGGGAAATTAATTCTATGTTCTCCACGGGTAACATCACTATCTGGTGGATCTTAACACTGTGTACATTAAAATGAAGCTTTTTATCCACTGTAAAAGAAGGATGAGATTACTTGCACAGCTTTTAAAATGATGGCTATGATTACAGTGAATTTATGCTTATATTGGTTTGGAAGAAATATCTTTTTAGGAAGCATATAGTGCTTTCTTTTACACTGCTGGCCCACCCAAGAGATTTAAGCAGTGTTTTTTAGAAGTTATAGGAAACTATCAACTACCAAGCTAAGTACTTTAGGATTATTGTAACCTTGGATGTATCAGTTCTCTCCCCCCCCCATCTTATATGTGAGTTGCCTGTTACATATTATGTACTTTACAAACATGATCAGCTGGAGTCATGTTGTTGGAAGAGTAGATCATTCCTCCTCTGCAACACTGAAAGAGAAGCACATAAGAGTGCCACTTTTGAAGACCAGAGGGTCTGGCCGACACAGTGGGACCATGTGGAGCTGGTGCCTGCAGTGCCTGGGCAGAAATTGAGCCTGCAGTCAGGGGCAGAAGAGCAGCTTTCACAGAGAACGGGGACAAAACCCTAAGGACCTGAGAAGACTTTGCATTTGCTGCTGTTGAAAAAGGTACTGAGTGAAAACAGGGATCTGACTGTAGAGACACAGCGGGTGAGGAAGAACTCTATATAAACCTTTTGGTCTTCTGTTCTGTCTACCCTGTCATATATATTTAAAAGTTAACTATTCAAATTTGTGTTCT